GGAAGCAATATTTCTGGCAAGTGCACACTGCTGTTTAGAGCACAAGAGTTAAGGTGTTTCCTGTCAAATGAGTTTATCTTTGATCCATAGTGAGTTCATAATGTGCACAGGAGGTTCCTTTTGTATTTATTATGAGGATAGTCAAAAAAGTTATTAAATAGGAAGGATGAGAGTCTATTCCACCTACGAGGTAAAGGTGGCACTCCCATGTTTAATTGTGGTTTTATTCTATCTAGCCTGATTGCCTGAAAAGGTTTTGATGCAGAAAGTGGGTGAGTCATCTTCTTTGCTTTTGTGACAACATCTCAAGGGTAATATGGAAGGTACATTACAAAAGTAAATGCCTAGATATTCTTTTTCAGGGACTCAAGGAGGGGAAAATAAGATCATTCTTGGACAGTTGATAGGTGTAATAAGATCTGATCTGAAACAGCTAGGAAAATATTGACTGACATAATTAGATTATGAACTTTGGCTAATAGATCTCTTCTTTTACCAACTGTGTATGTGATCCTTTCTATTTTGTCTTTGTCTGATGTTAGTTCCTGAACTCCATTAGTCAAAACCTATCCAGAGCAACTAGAGGCAAAGGAATTACCTTCTTCAGTTTTGAGTTTTCTGGGTCTGGAAGGTATAATGAGCCAGAATGGTCTGGAGGTGTGTCTGTACCTAAGTAGAATCTCCTATTAAATGAGAGTGCTTCTGATTTAGTCCGTGTCTTCGATGGGCATGTCTACATGAGATGTTTACTGTGCAGTAGACTAATTAGCTGCATAGTAAGCATCTCTGCCTCTACACACCTGGCTACACATATGGCTTCTATTAGGCTGGAGTAGACCAATTTACTCCACAGCACTACACCTGTAAATACAAGTACTATCCTGCTGCAGGGTAAAAAAACAAAACAACTCTGCAAACATGCACGTGTAGATGCAGCCCTAACTAGCTAGGGCACAAAAATGATTCCGTGCAGGGGCTGCCTGCCGGCTAGCCAAGCACTGAAGCTCCCTTATGCCCCAGCCAGCCAATCTGCAGCATTCTGAGTGAAAGGGAGCAGCCTGAGGTTGGCAAGCTGACCCCTCCCCCCTCCCCCACCACCATCTGGGGCTGTTCAGACCCAGCTCCATGTTCTGTGCATGAATAAACTGCAGTTTATTGCTCTGGAGTTAATTGCTCCTGAGTGCATGTGTAAAGGCACACCCAGGAGCAATAAACTGTGGAACAATAAGCTCCACAGTTTATTCATGTAAAGTAATAGCACATGTCGACATGCCCAGTGAGCATTTGAGCCTTAGTTTCAGTCACTGATGGCTAGGTCCAGAATAGCTGCATTTCTGCAAACCTGTAATCCAGAGAAGATAAATCAGTGTAAAACCATGCTTTGTACCGAAGCAGCTTTTTAAGCTTTTTAAGCTTGAAGTGCCAATGCAAACTTGTCCACTGCAAATAGTAACTGCCTATTTACATTGGGGGTCCACACAGATGCAAATGATTGAAATTGAGGAGGATCTTTGCTGTAGACAAAATCATAAATACATCTCTTCATTTGTACTTTCTCTGAACATGCAGTCTAACAATCTGGAGCAAAAGTAGCACTGCACCTGTTAACTGATTTTTCAGCATTCAAATAGAAGATCAAAGGATAGGACCCAAGTTCTTATGGGAGAGGCTGAATTCCTGAAACTTGGTAACAAAAGGCAGGCCTGTACTTCACACACCAAACAGAAGAATACAATAATAATAAAAATGGAAACTTGAGGTTTTAGCAGAATGAGAAGCAGGCTTCAGGATACAGGCCTCGTGGTGGCTTTATGATCAACTTTCACTCTGTCTACCTTACAAATGGATTATATCATCTCCAAATCAAAACAAATTGAAAATAATTCCTTGTCAAGGACTGTGATTATAAATATTGGTTCTCATATGGGGAAGGAAGTATTTCTGGTGTCAAAATGGCATGGAACAGAAAGGAAACTAACAAACAAAATGATGGCGGATCCTTTCACATGTAGATAATGCTGTGGCTGTAAACTTTACACTGACTGTACTTATAAAGGGCACCTTCAGTGGCTCTCTTCACACTATGGATTTATTAAGTAAAGGTCCTTGTCACCTCAACTTCTTTTAGCTAAATATCAGAGGGAATAACTTTCTCAGGGAAAGAAGAGCATCCTTAACCTCAGTGCTCTCGGTGTTTGCTGTTCCAGTCTTCTATGGCTTCTACTCTTCCCCAAATTTGGCATCATCCTCTACTCGGAGCTCTCCTATTTCATCTGTTTTCTGCAAATCTGTACATCACTGTATTTGGAACAGCATCCGTCTTAACTTTCTACTGAAATTCTGCTCCGTACCGTAAATATTTCACAACTTTTACTGCAACTTTTCTTTATCCACAGATTCCATCAGGTGTAACATTTTGCTAGCTCACATTTCACATCTTAAAAATACACAGCAGATTAATTCACACCTCAAACAACTGCACTGGCCTCCTACTTTATCTCAGTTCCTTCAAAACTGCTATGCTGTTTCCCTCCAGGATATGTTACAGCATTTCTTATGACCTCTTCTTCAGATACTTCCTCCTCTATTCCACCCACATGCCTAAAACTGGTCATTTTTCTATACCTTCACATAATCCTAGTTAGTGTTTGATACATGTGCCTTCTGTAACAGCCACTATCTGAACCTGCCTCTTTATACCTCTCACTTAATTGACTCTGGCCTGATCTATACCTGCAATTATGTATTTGTACAATTTTACTGTCCACGGGACCTAATCAGGGGCAAGGACTTAATTCATAAAAGTTTTATTGGTTTAATTTTGTTAAGGGATGCAATACCCCCACCCCTGATCAATATAGTTATGTCACTAAAAACTGGATCCACACTAAGTTATACCAATCAAAAAGTAATTTTGAAATGTATTCTGTTGAAGGAACTACTTATTATCAAGAAAAAGCTCATATAAGCTGTTTCCCTTGGAGCTATACCAGCAAACTCTTCTTCAGTATAACAGCAACAAGCTCACTGAAGTATAGACACAACCTGTATTTTTAAGTATTCTGTCTCTTGCTTCCATGTAATATCGTTCTTGTTACAACTATTTTTTTTACTGTGTAACTGCATTATTTGATTATATAAAGCTTTTTAAAGGACTGTGCATGGATGACCAGCGTCCATTATTAGATTTATTTATTTTTATTTGTGCCATCCTAAAGAAACATAAGCCATTTAAATACACCTACATATATATCTTGGTTGAGTAATGAAATATTTTGCTCAGGCCCTGAACAGATCAGCGCGTAAAAGTAGCACACTGACACACCACTGAAGGCAGGGTAACTTCACCCAAGCAGGTGCAGAATAACCCCTGAAAGAATTGAGGGTAAAAGTCAGTTGGTGTGAGTTTTAGCTATTTAGGTTTCATCTGTCCATATCCATATCAGGGTCACTCTTTAGCAAAAGGCAAAACAGCTGTTACCTGCAACAAGGCACAGTACGTTTCTAACCCTGCGATCTGTCCGTGGATAGCTGAACATCTTTTTCCTAATTCCTGTGTAATCAGTACGAAGTACGCTGGGCTGTTTGTCTCTCTAGAGCAGTATGCTCAACCTCTGGCCTACAGCACTGTGTCATCTGGTCTGAAGGACTCTCCATCAGTGTTGTGACCCCTCTGGGATTGCCCTGGAGTCTCCAGGAATTAGACAGAAATCTCCAGGAGACTGCTGAGTCACTCGGGAGATAAATGATAGGGCATTCATTATCTCTCAGGTGACATTATTATGCTGAATCTGATTTATACAGTAGTCCAGTGGATTTTTTAAAATGGAATAGTAATGTGCATTTGCTTTCCTGACAAAGTCCACACACTGTAATCCGTAACAGATATACACAAGCATGAGGGCACGTTTATGTCGCGTGTTGCAGGCACATTGGCAATCCGGAAACCTCCTGGAATAGATTCAAACAGAGTTGGTAACCCTACTCTCCATGGGTCCAGAAACTTATTGGTGGGAGACCAGTGGCGAATCTCCCCTGCTGCCAAATCTTCAGATTCATGGGGCACCCTGGGCTCTGCATGCTGGATCTGGTACCCAACTGCAGCCTGCAGAGCTGGTTGGGGGCAGCTCCAGGGCCCCATCCCTGTGCAGGAGGCTGGGAGGAGGTGGCTCTGGGGCCCCATCCCAGCATGTGGGTGGTTGGCTCTGAGCCCCTAGGACCAAACCCTGGCACACAAGGGGTAGGAGGGCATAGTGCCATGCGCAGCCCACGGATGGGCCCCGTGCCCACAGGGCCAAAAGGTTGATCACTTCTGCTCTAGAACAGTGCTTCCCAACCTTTTCTAGCCCAAAGCTCGCTTATATTTAATAATTTTCCACGGCACACCTGTTAAGGCATCCCCCATCCTTATGCCTATTGTAGCTCATTGCCATGGCAAAATTCTGCGGCACGCCGGTTCATTTCTGACTGCACACTTTTGTGCCGCGGCACATTGGTTGGCACACTGGCCCTAGAGCCTCAAGTGTATGACTAAAACAAACCAAACCCTGCACCCAGATCAGTAGAGAAAAATAAAACAAAGGGAGGGGGTATCATTTGGTAAATGTGATACTGTTACCAGGGGCCCAGATCACACTCAACCAGCGTCCGTTGCCTGGTGGAATGGGACTAGTGTTCCAGCCATCCATTTTGGACAGGCTGTGCCCGCATGCAGGGCAGAGGCAGCGTTGCCAGCTCCTCTTAAAGAAGAAATGATCCTACTTGAACCTCAACATTATTGTATTTGCTGACAAACTAATGTACCCTGAAAAAATATCCAACCTAAGTATGCAAATAAGGTCGTTGTCTTATTTTATATGGCTCACTGGATGGCACCGGGGCATGAAGTCAGCCACGTTGAAGCATTTTCTTCACTTGGAGGCGAGCCCGCACCAGGAAGGGCTGACCAGACCCGAAAACCAGTTCAGACTCTCTGAAAGCGACTCGGGTTGTGCACGTGCTGCATTAGTGAGCTGCCTCAAGTATTATTATTGTGTGTGTGTGTATGGCACAGTGTGTATCATCATATTCCCGCCCACTCTGAGCTCTTTACTATCAATGAAGCTGAAACGCCGCCAGGCACGAACTCTGCGGCTCCCGCGCGGGACGGCGGAGGAAGGGAGTGACGCAGCCCCCACAGCAACCCCTCGTGTGGTCTCGCGCCCGCTAGCGCCGAGCCCATAAGTCAGAGCGGTAGTCCCGCCCCCTCCCTGCGAGTGCGCGCGCAGCTTACCCCCCAAGCGGAGAGTTCTTCCTTCCGCCCACCGGCATTGGGGCTTGGCGGGGATCTGAGAGCGGAAGTGACGCGCGGGGTCGAGTGCCCGGAAGTAGAGGCGTCCGCGGGCGAGAGGCGGCGGTTGGAGTAGCGGTGAGCCTTGCGGGCGCCTCTTACCGTCCCCTTCTCCCCCCGGCGGGCGCTGGGTCGAGAAGCGGGGTGCGGGGCCAGTGCAGGCACGCCGTGCCGGGTCGTTGTTCCCCCGCTGGCCTGCCCCGGGGTTGCGGGGAGGCGGGAAGATGACACGGTTGTGCCAAGCGAGGCGCCAGCTGGCTGTGGCTGCAAGTGTGGCCGCACAGCCTGGGTCCTCAGTGAGGGTCCCTTGCGCGCTTGTAGCATGTGAAGCGCGGATCAAGCCGCCCTGAGCGGGGTGGTACTCTTTCGCTGATAGTAGTCAGCTGGTAAATGAGCATGGTAAGCAAACGATGCGTTTTTCATTTCTTAAAGTGCTGTGAACCACTTTCACAAGATGAGCGCCACTAAGGAAGGGGACGTGAAACCTGAGGACCTGAAACCCAAGGATGCTGAACCCGAGCCTGAGAAAAAGATCTTCTATTGTGAAGTGAGTGTGTTTCTTGGTGGGTTTTTAAACTATTCATAATGTAACACAGGATCTACTGGACTTGCCCATCTCACAGTGAAATATGATTTTATTTGCTGTCAGCCTTTAGCAGTCCAAGTAACTTTTCACTGCTGTGAATAGGGCTGACAGCCTATGGAAGTCGGAAGGTAAGCATGAGGGTAGCTATGACACAGAAGTAATGAGATGTTTGTCCCCCTTCAGTGCTTATTTTTTATAAGTTAAAAGTTTAAAAATTTGGCTTTAGACTTGAGACCTAAAAGAAACTAAGAAATTAGTACTTACACTGCTGCATATTATAGACCTGCTCTTTAGACCAAACTGAACTAGCTGGTAATCAGTGACAACAGTTCTCCCAGGCCATAAACAGACATTACACTTGTGTCAGGAGATAAGCTTTTCTCCAGCACAAGAAACTGTTTCTTCCTCAAGAAGCAAGATTGAATACCTATGAGGAACACTTCCCTCCTCCTGATCTAACTTGAGCAGCAGCGTGCTTCTCCAGGATGTGGAGGACACCTGATATCCCACAGTTCTCTGCTCTCCTTCCCTCCAGGAGAGGGAGAGCACTGGCTCCCTAATAGTCTGGGTAGACTGTAAGGAACCCCCTGTGGGGACCCTGGCCTGAAAACTTCCACCCCTTCCCTGCCCACCACTCAGCTGATGTTTGGGCGAATTTGTTTCTGGAGGGGAAACACTTCAAAAACAGGTTCTCCCACCAGGAGAATGGGCCCCCTTTGCTGCCAGACAGCTGACTGGTAGGAGGGGGACATTCTTGTGCAGCAACAGAATGTCCCTGTCTTACCCCTGCATGGCTCTGGGTTAGACCAGAGCAGAATGTCATAGAAATTCTTGTCTGTGGAAATGAACGTCTGTCTGTCTGTGGCCTATGCAGATGCTTCTAAAGCAGGGATGTCAAACTCACTAGGCCCCATAGGCTGGATGAGTGACATGGGCTAGCCTTTGGGCCAGATTGCTCCCCCACTCCCCCCTCACAGTGCAGCTCCAATCCTGGAGTAGTTGGACCAGGTGCTGCATGCAGTGCAGTCCACACAGAGCAGCAGCCAAGCTGCAGACAGTGGCCACTGCAGCAGCTCTGGGACTGTAATTAAATGCATTGCTCGTTCCAACCACTCTGCACTGCTTGGGGTGCCTGTCAACACAGCATTCAGTGCGCATCCCAGAGCAAGTGCTGTATGTAACGCAGTCCCGCCAGGTCAGCCGTGACATGCAGCGCTGGTTCTGTTCTAGCCAGACTGCACTGCATGTAGTACCCACTCCAGCATCCACACCACATGCAGTGTATGTCTCAGACCAACTGGAATGGCCATTGGGTCAGATATGAGGAAGGGAGAG